GTGGATTTGTGTGTGTGTGTGTGTGTGCGTGTATGAGTTTGTATGTATGTGTTTGCGTGTGTGTACAAGTGTGTGTGTTTAGATGTGTGCGTGTGTGCGCGCGCGCGCACACGTGTGTATGTGTGTGCCTGTGTGAATATGTGTGTGTATGCGTGTGTGTGTGAAGGCAAATGTGCGAGTGTGTGTGTGTATTGTGCACCACGATTTTATATAATTCACATTTTAATCCATTTTTCTAAGTCTTCCAGGCCCTTCCCTATAAAACCTAATAATAAGTGGTCAGTAAAGTTCATTAAGGTCCGAGCACACAAAGATTTGATACACCAGACGTGACATTTTTATTTCTGTTCTTTTTCTTGATGGATGAACTGGTAATTAGAGCCCTGCAGTTCCCTTCAAAAACAGCTTTGCCTTGTCAGAATGATTCAAAGGTTACATGTAAAGTCTTTGTCACACATTCAGAACCTTCCACCGACCACCAACCAATGTTGGCTGAAGATCGGGAGCATTCTGGCCAGAGAAGGGCCACGCCTACCTTTCTATACGAATCAAATCTAATTAGAGTTAAATTTGACCCCCCCCCCAAGTACGCCCCGATCACTGCTGACCTAAAAATAAACATGGCATACAAGTTCCCGAAAAAAGTTTCATCAGGTTGGTACAGTACAGGATACAGGAGTTTTCTTTTACACAAGCAAGATTTCTCACCTAAGTGCTGACGTGCTGACATATAGCGGTGAGAAGCAGAACTCCAGTCAGACGCTCCGAGGAAGGTATCTGATCAAGTATAATGTCCTTGGTCTGATAGACACCGAAACCTCAGCACTTAAATGCTGAGGTCACATTTCCAAAGCGGCGCCCGGCCGGGCTGTTTCGATTAAAGAAAAATTAATAATTTATATCAATAATATACGCAAATATTCCCATTGTTAATTTTTGTAGCTTTTTTTGGGATTTGTTCCATATTAAAGACTGCCCGGCCGGGTCCCGGTTTGGAAATGTCGACCTCAGCATTAGGTGAGAAAATTTGGCTGTGTAAAAGAAAACTCCTGCATCCTCTGGCGGACAATTGTGCTTCCAGCTTTTGAACACACACCCGGTGCGAGCCCGTAGCCAGGGGGGATTCGGAGGAACCCCCCCACAAGGCTCAAAGGTCCACATTTTGGTCCACTTTTTATCTAAAGGTCCAAGATTTCTCTTTAGATGGACTGATTCGTATCATCAGCGGGCCTGGAATCATATAAAAACTGCTCACTTTGTCATTGAATAAAAAGTTATGTCTGATTTTTTTTTTCTCTGAAATCCTCTCAAAAACGCAGGAAAAGGCATTTCAGAAGGTTCATTTTTCAAAATTTTCCGGGGGAGCATGCCCCCAGACCCCCCTAGGAACCTCGCGCCTTCGGCAGTCGCCTCACGGCTACGGCGCTCACTGGTTCCTCAAGCAGTGGAACCCGACCCCCACCCCACACACACACATTCAAAATCCTGGCTACGGGCATGCCGGCATGCCACCTTTACTTCCAGAAGATATTCATTTGCCTTCTTTGAAAAGAAATGACCATAAAAAGGACTTTCTGCATTTTGCATCGCCCTAAATGTTAAACAAGAATTCGGAGATCTCATACCTCCATGAAATATGTAGAGTTTATGTAAAATTGTTATTATAATGTTCAATAATTGGTACTATTATGATAAATATCAACTGTTTTCTCCGTCTCTGTCACAGGAGCAGAGAGGAGATTGTGGCCGAGCTGGTACTGTGGACTCCCAAGCATGGGAGGAGGAAGGCTGGCAGACCGACTGCAACCTACATAGACTGCCTAAGGAGAGACACTGGCCTGGAGGTGGACTACTTGGGTCAAGTGATGGAAGATAGGGAGTGTTGGTCAGCCATTTTGTCTCGAGGTCAGGGACACCAGGACTCGACATAAGTAAGTCAAGTTCTCCGTCTTTCTTAGTTCCATGATCATATGAGTCAAGTCATTCTTCAGGTGTCCATGTGGGGAAGTGAAATGTGATGTTGTGGTATTTTGACCATCTTCCGAAGACTTTTTTCTCTGCGAAGAAGCGATGGGCACCTGTCTTCATATTCTCCATCCTGTTGTACTCGTCGCATTCTTTCCGCCGGCCTTGGAAGTCCAAGAAATGATGAAAATAATGGTACGCCGCCGGGTAAGCATTCGGGTCCCTGTAAGCACCAACAACATCTGATTAATGAAAACAAACAAACAAACAAAGAAACAAACAAACAAAAACAAACAAAATATTTCGAAAAAGAAACTCTTCAGAATTACTGAAAAGACACCAAAGTAGTCGTAAGAAAATTCAAACTCTACTACTGGATCAGTTACGGATTTTTATTTATTTCCGGACGTTTCGAGTGACATCCATCACTCTTCTTCAGCGTCACAAATGAACAGAGAACCGATTCACTCTTATATACAAGTAACTAGAAAAAACGGTTAAACAACAAGGTCTGTAAGAAGCTTTATCATGTAAAAGAATGGATGATAGATGTCACTCGAAACGTCCGGAAATTAATAAAAAAATCCGTAACTGATCCGGTAGTAGAGTTTGAATTTTCTTACGAGTATCGTTTACCTGGATGTCTAACCTTCATCAACGTGACACCAAAGTAGGTTTGACTAGATATCGATGACCAGGTTTTTATGTAGCGGTGGTCACTAGTACAGGTTTGCCTGAAGGGGTGGACACTGGACAGTTTTGACTGTAGGAGCGGTCACTAGACTAAGTACAGGTTTGCCTGTAAGGCCACACCGGCTTAATTTCATGGATGACATCCTCTGAAGACCCCCAAACTAGTGCGCGCGGGCGAATAAAAAAAAACGGAGAAAAATAAAAATGCTACCATACCACAGGAATACAAAGCTGGTATTGTGAATTTGCGACGTGATTTTTTTAGGACAGGCGAAAATCAACGCGCGCGCGGATGTCATCCATAAAATTAAGTCGGTGTGGCCTAATGCATGCATGAAAGTACGAGTAATCAAAATACCACCAAAGACAAGTAGAAAACCACTTTTATATACCTGCAGTTGTCTCCGTTGCTCATGCCGTACACTTTGATCTGGTCACACATCTCTGTAGCCAGAACCATCGTGAACCAGCCTGTACTGAGATAGATGTCTGATTCCGGTCGTCTTTAAAACAAAGAATGTTTTTGTAAATATCATGACTATGTAATATGTCAATGCATGTATATCTTATTTATTTACAGTAGAAGCCAATTAATTGCACACTTCTGTCAATTGCACCAAGTCCCGAAATCCCAAAAATACGTAAAACAGCGCCCAGGTTAAATTGGGACAAACTGGAGCACTTTGGATACAGAGTTCTAACCGTTTGCAGCTTTTACTTAGGCTACAGCAAGTAATTATACATGGATGACGTCAGCGCGCGCTTTAATTTTCGGCTGATTTTGGAAGAAAAAAAAAACAAGAAATTTTGTTGCCTTCTGACAGTGGTCACCATGCCGAAAATGGGCAAACATGTCTGCTGCCATGCCGGAAGGTGGATGGCAGATAACTATGAAGAGAGTAGACAAGAAAAGGCTCTGATTTAATGTTTTGTTTCTTACTTTGATGCATCGATATGTGATGCTGGCTGTGTATATGTGATGTTCCCACTGAATCAAAACCATTTGTACCATGATTGAGTCAAAATTTTAAAATGTAGGAACTTTGTTTTTTTCGGCCCGTCTTGTTTTTTTTTCGCCCGCTCGCATTAGATTTGGAGTCTGAGGAGGATGTCATCCATAAAATTTACTTGCTGTGGCCTTACGTAGCTGAGACTTGTACAAAAAACTTCCCTCCACTGCACTAACGGGAGTCGTCACACATCGGTGAAAATCGAAAAATCTAAAGATTTTCCCCTCGAATCTCAAGTTGTTGTTTTTTTAATCTAAAGATTCTCTGAAACAATCTCTATATTTTCCACGAACAATCTCGAGCTCAATATTGCACCATATAAATACAGATTATCAACTATACAAATCCCCCATTCAGAAGAGGAAATTAAGAGCATTTAAGTAATGAAAGACACCCAATGCAATTTCAGGGCGACAAAACTGAATTGTCAATTTTCTGGTCATTCTTTTAATGTAGAAAATTAAATCAACCCTATCCCATAGCATACTGATATACGTGAGGCAAAAGGTAATGTCGCTGACATTTAAGTAAGGCCACACCAAGCAAATTTTATGGATGACGTCCGCGCGCGCATTGATTTTGGCCTGTTCCTAGAAAAAAAACACACAGGAAATTCCGCTTCCTGTAACTATGACCAAATAGTCACGACAGTGCCGCAAATAGGTTTGTACGGACCAAAGCTTATGAGCATCAAGCAAGACTTCCATTAGGAATTCAGTTTGGTACATGCTGCCACATTTGAAGAAACTTGCTGACCGCTCCATCTATCTCCCCAAAGCACAGGACGACAAGTGCTGTTCCACCTGATTTATTGCTGTTTTGATGATGAATAAAAGACTTCTTGCTTGTTACACTGTGTCCCCTCATTCAATTTGTGTCCTAACATTTGTCGTCTCTTAGTATATTTCTAATCTAAACATCTTGTTTTTAGGGCGATTCTTGTTTTTTTTTTCGCCCTCTCGCATTAGATTTAGGGTCTTCAAAGGACGTCATCCATAAAATTTACTTGTTGTGGCCTAATCAAGAAATACATGTACATGTATATGGTTCCTCACCTTGGCAAACCTGTCTCGTTATCAAAGAGTTGATGAGAATATCTCATTCTCTCTGGTGTCAGCATGTAAAACTCAACGTCAGTGGAAGCCTTAGCTAGACTGAGCAAATAATTGTATGTCTTCCCCTTTCCGTCTGTCCTCATGGTACGGTCTGGACCCCATACAAACACGTTTGACAGGTTTTCTGTGGAAATGATGTGTGTGATTTGTCTCCAGGCTTCCTCAAAGTTTTTGTGCGTGGCTACGCGGACTGTGGTCCTGGTTCCGACGTGCTTCTCGAACCCGTCAACAGGAGCGTGGTTCATACGGATCACACACTCGGCCTGGTCAATTTCCTCTCCGGCCATGTAGTTCAGGACATGACCAGAGGTGGACACCAAGGCACAGACACTACAGTGCCGCTTGAAGGGCTAGAAAACAGAACATTTTCACAATGATTAATCGTTCCTCAAACGCAAAATATTGAAACTGGCCTAATTTTTTAAACAAATTTTCTGATCTTCTTTTGGATAACCCATGTCACTTACGTCATGTGATGAGCGCTAGCGTTCATGGTGAGACATGCATTTACTGAACTATTATTTAAAGGGCAACTCATCAAGACATATCCACGATTCACATATCAAGACAACCCCTTTATACAAAAAAAACACGCGCGCGCACACACGCACATGCAGACTATTACACCACACTTCCAATTCTGGAATACATTCAAATCAGTGCCGCCCAAAGCAATACTTCTGTTCGGAGTAACAAAGCCGTGAGCTCACTTTAACCAAATGATTTAAAACAAGAAAGCTTTTTAAAAAAGCTGGCCGGAAGCCGAAATGGGAATAGCTGGTTAGGTGGCATGTGTGTGCACTATTTATATTAATGACTCAAATAATTGGTCAGCTTGCTGACTTGAATTGTAGCAATACTAGCTTGCCAAGACATGCTTGACGAAGCAACGAAGTGCAAAAATACAAAAGAGTACAAATTTAACTTGTTGACATTCCTGAGTAAGAGCAATTCGTTTTGAATGTTAAAAGCAAAGCAACGGATGTTAAAAGGAATTTTTTTGCAGGATCAAATGTCTGCAAATTTTTGCACGTGGGGTCGTGTGCGCGACTCGGAACCAAGAGGTTCCGGGTTCGAGTCCTGACATGCCATCGATCTTGTGCCCTTGGGAAAGGCACTTTACACGACTTTCCCCACTAGACTCAAGTGAAAACGAGTATTGTTTCTATGCCAGTATTCGTTTCTATGTGCGGGACACAACACCAGCAACAGCTGCCACTGTCCCGCGTGTATTGAATTGTTGCAATTTCAATAAAATAAATAAATAAATAAATAAATGAAAATAAAAAAGATAAGTATGGCCAGACTTACGGCTTTATCTTTCAGCACGTTGACGTATCCACTGAGAGGGTCTGTGTTATTGAATGGCTCCAGTGGTTTAGCGGGATCGGCGATGATGTTATACATAGTAGCGTAACTCGGCGGCCGGGGTCTGCGTTCTCCGAGATACGTGGTGGGAAAGTACGTGGGGAAGTACACAAAGTTGCAGATCGTGAATCCCACGACTAGTCCAATCAGGAAGGGTGTTCTGTTCTATATAGGAAAGTCAACATTGGATGTGAGCTGTAATAGGTACACAGGAATAGTAGAAAAGAAAGAAAACTATTCTCTTAGAGTTAACCTTTTGAAAAAAACTGCAACTGTGTGCCACAGCCTCCGGGACAGTAAACAAGAATCCATATGTTGTCTGTTCAGTAACGTCAATCAATCCCCAAAGCATATATGGCCCTTTCAAATGTCGACATCACTTCATATTTCTTGATATTTTTACATAAAGACTATATTTGTTTTCGTTACATTTAGACCCCTGGTAATGGTAGAATACTTCAGGATGGTGGATATATCTTCAGCACTTTGTCCCTCTCATGTCAGAGAAGAAATATTTCTGTTTCACCATTTTCTTACTACAGTCAAATCTAGTTAGAATGGCCTATCCAAGGAAAATTATTACTGTAAATAGGTGGTCACTATAGACAGGATCTCTAATGCTTAATCTATGTATACATATATAGATAGAATAATTAGCTGTGTGACACAGCCTCCGGGACAATTGAGAGACTACGTAGCTTAAACTTCATACCCACATCGTGTACACTACCTGGTACGTACCTTGTGATTGAAGTTGACCAAAGAACAAAGATCCACGTAAAGACTACACATAATAATAAATTCAAACTCTACTACTGGATAAATCACGGAGATAGCTTTCGGACGTTTCGAGTGACATCCATGCACCATTCTTTATCAGCGTCACTAATGAACTGGTAGAACTAGTCAACACATATAACTCACCATATATTTTTCCTCTGGGAGTTGTCCTATGAAGACAACTACGGTCGAATAATTAGCTGTGTGACACAGCCTCCGGGACAATTGAGAGGGAGAGACATAGCCTAAACTTCATACCCACATCGTGCACACTACCTGGTACGTACCTTGTGATTGAACTTGACCAAAGAACGAAGATCCACGTAAAGAATACTCATAATAGTAAATTCAAACTCTACTACTGGATAAATCACGGAGATACCTTTCGGACGTTTCGAGTGACACCCATGCACCACTGTTCATCAGCGTCACTAATGAACCGGTAGAACTAGTCAACACATGTAACCGGGTTTGTCTACTTACCGGAATATATCGAAATACTAGTACGCCGGAATACACCAAAATTCACAGAAATTGGAAATCTATCGGAATACACCCTGCTTTCGTGATCACAGGTTGCTATATTTTGTCATAAGATATCGTATACTGTACATGGTCCTGGTACAAGAAATTACTGGGCGATCCTGGCCCGTCGTGTCCTCAGTAAAAATACACAAAATCAGCAGACGAGTTAATCATGTACAGTACTGTAGCCTCTACCAGGCTTCGGGAGGCGGCTAGAAAGAGTAGAAATCGCGGCCAAATAGAGAGATAGCATGCCAATGGAGTTTGGTCGGCTGGAGAGAACAGTTTGCCGCTCCCTTGCCGACCAAACTCCCTTGGCATGTTATCCCTCTATTTGGCCGATTTCTACTCTATCCAGCCGCCTCCCGAAGCCTGGTAGAGGCTAGAAGTACAGCCAGTAGCTGTAGTAATTTCTAGCGATTTCTTGTTCGGAGGGTCATAACTTTATTTCATGCCAAAATATAGCAACTTGTGATGTTAACAAACGTTTCAAAGAATTCTTATTTCAGTAAATATAACCTCTATCTTTCTGTCTTTTGTTACGTGCACTGTAACCCCGCCAAACAAACACTGTAATCCGGAATCAACAAACATGGCGACCGGATATCACTCGGTAATTTCTGGTGATTCCTGTTCCTTGAGCGATGTGTATGTTATCTCATGTCAAAATACAGCAACCCGGGATGTTAACGTATCAAGTTGTGTGTGTTCCGGTAGACGCCACCCTCTTTATTATGTATTCCTGTGTATTCTGGTGTATTCTGGTGTATTCCGGTAAATAGGCGGACCGCATAAAACCTACCCTGCAAGAACCTAAGATACAGTAGCAGTTATATATAAGACATAGGAACTACATGTACGATGACTATGCCAGTCCTTGTTTATGTTCAACCGGTTTTTTCAGTTGCTCATTACACGTGTTGACTAGTTCTGCTAATTCATTAGTGACGATGAAGAAGATCGAAAGTGGTAGAGGACAAATTAAAAGAGACTAGGTGTTTTTTTTATAAACCAATCTACAGTCCTGTACCATGTAGAACAATAGTCGCATTGTAACCTGTAACTATCCTCTATCAGGCTTCGGGAGGCGGCTGGAAAGAGTAGAAATCGGCCAAATAGAGAGATAACATGCCGAGGGAGTTGGTCCGCTAGAGAGTACATTTTTGAGAGGCAAACTGTTCTCTCCAGCAGATCAACTCCCTAGGCATGTTATCTCTCTATTTGGCCGAGTTCTACTCTTTCCAGCCGCCTCCCGAAGCCTGGTAGAGGCTAAGCTGTAACTCGTTCAACGGGTTACGTATTTGGGGCAGAAATCTGGCATGAGAGCGGCTACGGGCGATGGCAGATGCTTCGTAAACAGGGCATGGCTGAAGGCTTTGTGTTCCAGTTTTTTTTTTTCGTGTCAAAATCAGCAGCATCATTTTGCAGCGATCTACCAACGAACTTCAGTTCAGTTTTCACCTACCAAACGCCAAAATGGATGTGTGTTCTTTCGTTCAGTTCAATCACAAGGTACGTAACAGTTAGTGTACACGATGTGGTTATCAAGATTTGAATAGTCTCTAAAATACAATCATTTAAGTATAGCTAGAACTAAGCTAAAACTCTGTGTTTCATCTGCCATCTTCGGATTTTATATGAGTAATATTATCACCTAACTTGTAAACAGTTTAGTCGCCACCCACTGTAGCTATCGTGGCCACATTTGTTTTGGTGGTCATTTAGATAATTTCCCATTGACTCAAGAATTAGGAACCCCGTCTATAGTGACTACCTGTCTACAATAGCGATTTTATTTCATTCTAGCTAGGTTTGACTGTAGTAAGAAAATGTTGAAACAGAACGCAGTTTGTTGAATCGTTTTGCACTAAAAGGCACGACTGGTGACAAGCAAATTGCTTCTTCTCTGATATAAATGGTTTGCTGTTAACCTGGGCTAAAAAAACTGATATGTATCTACCATCCTGATGTGAAGTGATGTCGATATGAAATGGCAATTTATGATATGTGGATACTGAACAGATATGGTGGGTGCTACGAAACGCCGCCATTTGTGGCAAAACTATTCCATTCATTACCTTCTTTGTTTACTGTCCGGGAGGCTGTATCACACAGCTAATTATTCCGCTGTAACTTTCCTCCGAGAGGAAAAAGCAACAACATTGGTTTTCTCTATTTGTTCGGTGTTCTTCTACGATTTTCTGTGAACCAATCACAGCACACGTATGAGTAATGTTAACTTTAAAATTTCCTATGTAGGGCAGAACACCCTTCCTGATTGGACTACTCGTGGGATTCACGATCTGCAACTTTGTGTATTTTCCGACGTACTTTCCCACGTATCTGGGAGAACGCAAACCCCGGCCACCGAGTTACGCTAATATGAGTAAAAGACGTACACAACAACTAGAACTCTCGGCGACAAGCGTCCCAGGCACCGTCGCCGGTCCGACTATCCCCCCAGGTCCGGTCCATCCGACGCCGTTCAATATCACAGACCCTCTCAGTGGATACGTCAACGTTCTGAAAGATAAAGACGTAAGTCTCTGTGTGTGTGTGTGTGCGTGTGTGTGTTTGTGTGTGTGTGTGTGTGTATGTGTGTGTGTATTTGTGTGTGTGTGTGCGTGTGTATGTGTATGTATGTGTGCGTGTGTGTGTGTGTGTGTGTATGTGTGTGTGTTTGTGTGTGCATGAGTGTGTATGTGTGTGTGTGTGTGTGTGTGTGTGTGTGTGTGTGTGTGTGTGTGTGTGTGTGTGTGTGTGTGTGTTGTGTGTGTTGTGTGTGTGTGTGTGTTGTTGTGTGTGTGTGTGTGTGTGTTGTGTGTGTATGTGTGTATGTGTGTGTGTGTGTGTGTGTGTGTGTGTGTGTGTGTGTGTGTGTGTTGTGTGTGTGTTTGTGTGTGTGATGTGGGTTATCCACGAGAAGACCAGAAAGCTTCCTCTAAAAATCAATATTTTGTGTTTGAGAAAAGATCAATAATGAAAATATCTTGTTTTCTAGCCCTTCAAGCGGCACTGTAGTGTCTGTGCCTTGGTGTCCACCTCTGGTCATGTCCTGAACTACACGGCCGGAGAGGAAATTGACCAGGCCGAGTGTGTGATCCGTATGAACCACGCTCCCGTGAGCGGATTTGAGAAGCACGTCGGAACCAGGACCACAGTCCGCGTAGCCACGCACACCAACTTTGAGGAAGCCTGGAGAGAAATCACACACATCATTTCCACAGAAAACCGGTCAAGCCTGATTGTATGGGGTCCAGACCGTACCATGAGGACAGACGGAAAGGGGGAGACATACAATTATTTACTCAATCTAACTAAGGCTTCCACTGACGTGGAGTTTTACATGCTGACACCAGAGAGAATGACCTATTCTCACAAACTCTTTGATAACGAGACTGCTTTGCCAGGGTGAGTAACCATTTGTTTTTATTACTCAAATGCTCTTAATCACCTAAAAATGTTGGGTTTATATATTTGATAAACTGTATTATCATATAGCCTGGTAACGTTGACCAATCAGAAGGCTCCATTCCACATGGCTTATGACGCCGTAATGTCACAAATAGAGTCAAAACAAGTCATTATTCACCCCAATCCATAAATTAAACAATACATATAGAATACAACACGGGGTATTCCGTATCGCCCGAGGTATCGGCCCGACCGCGGGTCGGATCGCCCGACGGCCGCCCACCCAAGAAAAGACGCCTTTCAATGCAAGATGAGCCAAAAGTTGGTGCCACTAAACCCTAAAATGCAACGACATCAATTCCAACGTCCGGATTCTGTATTCGAATTTTCGAAAGGGGCACACGCGGGTAGGGCGAAACGCGTTCGAATCGTTTTATGGAAGTCATGTAAAGTACGGCCCGGTCCGGAACCCGTTATAGAACCCGTTATCGAACGCGGCCCGGGTATGATATAAAATAATTGACCACAGGTGACCCAAATAGAACACTACTCTGTTCCAAAAAATTTAAAAAAAAATAACTTGTTATGTTCCAATGACCTCGGGTGACTCCCATAAGAACACCTGTTCCCTGCCAATGACCCAAATAGAACACGACCCTGCTCCAGTGACCTCAGGTGACTCCATATGGAACAGATGTACTATTTAAGTTTATACATGTTATACAGGAATGTGTCACTCTTTAATAACTGTGTAAGGTTGTATAGGCTATATGATGATAACTGTATTAAATGGAGGTAATAAAGTAAAATATCAAATATTAAAGATATTTTTTTTGTGTTTGGGGTCTAAAAGTCGAAGAGAAATCTGGCTCAGCACAGGCTGGTTCACGATGGTCCTGGCTACAGAGATGTGTGACCGGATCAAAGTGTACGGCATGAGCAACGGAGACAACTGCAGGTAAAGTGATTTTTTACTTCAGCATGAAAGTTCATCTGAGTTGGTAAATTACATTATGAAAAACTTAAACTGTTTTCCAACTCAAAATTTGACTCACCAGAAATTTTCGACTGAATCACTCAGTCTTCCTCAGCTATCTGACCCAAATGTTGTGGACACGTGATTTTTCCCACGTGTGACGTCAGCAAAGGTTAAAGGTTGTCTGAAGTCGATATCGCCCCCCGTCCCGGTTGAGCGATGGTTGAAGTGCCCTGATGTATATGGCCTCTTTTATGCCTCTCTTGAAGTAATCCTGTTCGGTATCCAAGATTCTGACCCCCATGATTTTCTACTTGTCTTTGATGTTATTTGATTACTTGTTTTTATCACAATCGAACCTGTGCTAGTGACCACCACTACATACAGAGGTGCCAGAGTATACAGTGCAATTTTACGGATACAGTAAAATGGTATTAGTATACACTGCAATTTTACGGATACAGTGCAATCGTATTAGTATACAGTT